AAAAAATTACAGACCACCGTGGAATAAAAACGCCTACTTTACAGCCCTAAGCAGGGAGTTAGGCACCGCCAGGTTCCTCTGAGCCAGTGGAGGAGGCGCGTGTAAATGTCTGCTTCGGCGCGGCGGTGCTGATTGGTCCGCGTTGCCATTTTAAATCCATTTCCAGCTGCCCTTTGCAGAACTGGGACACATAGCTGCACGTTGAGTGCCCTGCAGAAACTTAGGGTTTCTCTTGGGTCTGGGAAGGCTTAGCTGTGATGGAGAGGGAGAGCCCCCATCCCTCCGGATGGAGCCCAGCAGCTGACTGTGGAAGGAGGGGTCTAACAGGAATCTAAGGTTTTCTGCGAGGGCTTGGCTGAAAGATGGTATCTTCATTAAAGGGTTTGAAATTTCACGTACTAACGACTGCAGTGACATTGCCTAACTGCCAAGTTTGCACATTTTAAATGCGAGCACATTCTCACTGAGGTGTGCACATTTTACATACACATACAAAATGGGCTTCTGCGTTTGTATTTATTTGCTTTCCTTTTGCAAGGGCTACAGATAAAATCTGAGGCCGAATGTAAGAGAAATCACTCAGGATTTCAGCCAACCGGTTTTATACAGGGCATGTTATATCCTCGGATTTTTTTCATGTTCCCAGAGGCCACAAAAAGGGGATTCCAGATGTTTACTTTTGCATTAATCCTCGACTCCTAAAAACACACACACACACACAAACACACACACAAAATATTGAGGTTGAGAGAATGTCCAGTCATTTGTTTTCAGGCCACTGTCACTTAGCTGTCAGACTATATGACTACTTTTGTATTTATAACAAGAAGAACAGAGAAAAACTATTGCATCAAGTTTTGTCTAAATCAGTTATATTTTATTTTAGGTTATATTTTAATTTAAAAATGGATTTGACAGGGTTTTTTTTTTTTTCAGTTTAAGTTGCTCAGATGTTCACTTCCTCTTCTTTATCTCACTATATTTCAAAGTTAAACTCTTATTTCTAATTTGAAAACTGTCCAGGTGGTTTCTGTCCACATGAAACTATTTCTTTTCTTCTTCACTTACTATCAAACAGAACAGTGAGCACCCTGGCATATGCTGAAGTTTTCTAATTATCTGAAATATATGATTTAGTGTTTGGATCAGGTCTGCTCATCAGCAGGTGGCAAATTTAGCTCAGTGGACCCATGACATCATTTTAAAACAATAAATAGAATGCAATAGATAACATGTAAAAGTTCTGTTTCATTTATATAGTACATGTGTGTAAAACCTGTATTCCGATGCTTTTTTCTCACTTTTTTTACATTTGGTAAATTGGCTTGTATCTTAGAATTCAAAGTATCTTAGTACTGTGTTAACACACACTTAACAGCATCTTTTCTGTTTTAGTGATATATGTAATACTGGTGTGTTTTATAATCAATGGCACCATAGATCAATGAAATATATATGTAAAGTCTGTTTCTTATTGTGGGTTGCGGTTATTATAAGTGCCACTGACTTAGTTGTGAGACCTGGGTTCCTTTAGGACTTCACTAAACCAGCTCTGAGGTCTTTGGTAAATCATTTCTGATCTCAGTGTTCTCATCTCTAAAACAAAAGAGTGGTATAAGGGTTCTGAGGGTTCTTCAAGTTCTAACAGCTTTTAAAACATGTATAATATCTTGTTCTCTGTGTCCTGTTCATATGCAAATTAATGTAGATTCCATATAAATAGGTAGTATTTCTAACAACTCTTTTTTGCACTAGTTGTGTGTTGTAGTGTTCAGTTCATAATAGACTTTTGGTACTTACTAATTTTTTGCTATGACAAAGTTACTCTTAATAAGTTACCATTTTACAAGTACTACGGGATGAGAAAAGCATTACAAATATTAAAATATCTTAAAAATTCTTAAAGGAAGATGTATCTCTGATGAAGGAGACATGGGTCTCACATTACACTTTATCTCATATTTGTACTTCGATATTCATAAATTAAAGAATAATTTTAAAATTTTCTCAAATTATAACTGATTGAATTAATCATGGATATATTTTATATGTAATTAAACAGATTTAGTATAACCAGATATTTTGCAAATGAATTTAGGGTATCTCAGAAAAAAATTGTAATTAATATTTATGGAACAGAAAGCATAGCATATAAATACACACACAAATATATATGTGTGTGTATAGCATATAGAAGTTTAGCAGAGTACAAGGTAAATACATATTTCTGAAAAATATTTCCAATCTTTTAATATGAACTCATTTGTACTGTTCAATTTCACGATTTTAGAGATCGTGACTTTTAAAATATGCTTAATATTTAATAAAATGTAGGAGAGAGAAATGCTAAGATTTTCCTACCGCATCACAAAGAAAGAATATATGCTGCCAAGTTAATATTTTGGTGGAGGGGAGAGGAGTGTTGTGGACAGGCTTTCTCATCCCATAAACAGAGGATCTCCAAACAAAGTGATTTTGTCCGCTCTGTCATTCGACAAACATATATTGAGTTGGTTTTGCAGTAATCTCACCTATTATTCTCTCAGGACTGAGGAATGTAATTCATCCAGAACTAAAAGGAATCTCTTTTGAAACAGCGAGGTAATCATTTAAAATCTATTTACCTCTTATGTTAAGCCTTTCGTTTACCCTTACAAATATTTATTCTCCTCTATCCAATTCATAGTTCATTCAACAAATATTTATTGAGTACCCAATATGTGCTAGGATTCACAGAACATACTTTTTGATGAAAGTCACAGAAGCAGAACAGAATTTCATTACTATCTCTCATCCATTGACATTATACTGTCAGCCCCAAACAATCTTGGTCTAGATACACTATCAAGCAGCTTTCGATAGCAGAACGGATTTAGGCTTTTAAAACAGAATTAGGAATAGAAGGTATGGTAGGCAGAATGCTAAAATGGCCCCTAAGATTTCCTGCTCCCCGCCCCTTTGTACATGCTGTGCATAATCCTGGGGACTATAATATGATGTATTTCACTTCTGCGATTAGTTTATGTTAGATAGTACAGTTGACCTTAAGATAATATATCCAGGTGATCTCGACCTAATAATATATGTACTTTTAGAACAGTGAGTTTTCTCTGGCTGATTTTAGGTCAGGAAGTTAGAGATTTGGACCTCAAGGAGGATTTGACTCACCATTGTTGGTTCAAAGATAGAGAGGTCACATGGCAAGAAGCTGAGGGCAGCCCCAAGCAAACATCCAGCAAGGAAACAGGGACCTTCTTTACAGAACCACGAGGAACTGAATTCCTCCAAAAAGAATGAGCTTGAAAGTGGAATCTTCCCCAGAGACCCTATACTGGAACTCAGCTGGGGCAACAGCTTGGTTTCAGCCTCATGACACCCCCAGCAGTGGACCCACCTCTACCTGACTTCTGACCTACATACCTGTGAGATAATAAGTGG